ATTACAAGTTCAGGGGATGATGAAGAGACTTACAGGTTGGAGTGTCTTGGGAAGGCTTGAAGGAAGAGGGGGATCTCAACTGACTCTTAAAGAAGAAGTCTAAAAGGCTGTCCTGTCACACCATTTAGGGTGGCTGCCATCAAAGTGTTGTCAAGGATGTGGACAAAGCAGAACCCTACTCACTGTTGGTGGAAATGTAAACTGGCACAGCCACTGTGGGAAATAGTTTGTTGTTTCCTCGAAAAATTTAGAGAATTGCATATGATTTAGCAGTTCCACTTCTGGGTCCATACTCAAAAGCAGGGTCTCCAAGAGATACTTGCACACCCATGCATAGCATTATTCACAATGGCCAAAAGATGGAAGGAATCCAACTGTCCATCATTGTATAAATGGATAAACAAATGTAGTTTGTAGGTACAATAGAATGTTATTCAGACTTAAAAAAATAAGGAAATTGTGACACATGCTGCAGTTTGGGTGAACCTAGGGGACATTATGCTAAGTGAAATAAGCCAGACACAGAAAGGCAAACACCACGATTCCTTACATGTAAAGTACCTCGGAAGTCAGATTCACAGTCATGAAGTAGCAGGTGGGTACAGGGAGCTGGGGAGGGAAGGAAATGGGGAATTGTTTAATGGGACAGAGCTTTAGTCTAGCAAGATAAGAAGAGCTCCGAAGATGGGTGGTGGTGACGGTTGCTTAGTACTTCTGCGCTGCACACTTAAAAATGGTTGAGGTGGTAAGTGATGAAGCTGACTGTTCTGTCTTTCACCACAATAGATGCATAAAGAGATGGTTGGTGGCTAGAGAAGTGGAGTCTTAAATTTTGAACCTTTTGAGTGTATAACTGATAAACATTTGTTTTAGCAGACTTTATTTTTTAGAGCAGTTTTAGGTTTACTGCTGAATCGAGCAAAAGAGAGTGATTTCCCATACACCCTCTGACTCCCCTGTGGTGAACACCCCCCAACCTGAGGGGTCCATCCTGCACTGTGGCCCATGGTTTATAGGGGGCTCACCCTTGATGGTATGCATGCCATGGTTTGGACAAATGTATAAGGACCTTTTCTTAATTAAAAAATTTTGATAATAATATAAGAACAGCTTAATAATAACTGAGGTGGAACGCTGGTGAGGCTGACCTAATGTGTCATGTTTCAGGCGACCATGGAGAATGCCGACGGTGCTGGCCGGAGCGGGGCCGAGGCGTCTCCCCTGACCGAGGGGCCAGCACAGAGCATCCCTCCGCAGGTGCCCCAGGAGGAGCAGGGCCGGCTTCTCTATCATGAGGAAACCATTGATCTTGGCGGAGACGAGTTTGGGTCTGAGGAGAATGAGACCATATCAGAAGATTCTAACAATTTTGTAGACAAGCTTAATGAGCACATGATGGAGAGCGTCCTCATTTCTGACTCTCCCAACAATAGCGAGGATGATGCTGGTGACCTTGGCTGTTTGCAGGAGGTCGTGGAGCCTTCGGGAGGCAATGCTGATCCCCGACTGGAGACTCTTGTGGGTAAGGCAGCGAGTGACACTCTGAGCAATAACAGTGACAGTGAAGGAGAGGACATGCCTGGGGGCCTCTCCAAGGCAAACCCGGACAGAAGGGTGCCATTGAAGGAAGACCCAGAGCAAGAAGTCAGGGGTGTGCCATCCTCCAGGGCTGAAGGCACGCCGGGCCCGGGGTCAGGCCTACCGGCCCAGGGGCCGCCTCCCAGGGACGAGCCTGTCCCTGTGTGCACCATCTTCAGCCAGCCCCAGCCAGCCCCGTTTCTGCGCGACGGCTTCGAGTCACAGATGGTGAAATCGCCTAGTTTCAGCGGCGCCAGTGAGGCTGCAGCCAAGACCCCTCCCCAGGTGGTCCAGCCCAGCCCCAGCCTGAGTAAGTTTTTTGGAGACACGACCAGCACAAATTCCCTGGCGTCAGACTTCTTTGATTCCTTCACGACTTCCACCTTCATTTCTGTCAGTAATCCTAATGCAGGCCCTCCAGTTCCAGAAGAATCATCCTCACTCACGACTCCGGTGCGGGGAAAAAACCCGGGCTCTGCCGATGCTTCCTACTCCCCAGGGGCTGAAGGGTCAGAGTCCAGGGGGTCCGTGGCTTCTCTCGAAGTCCCTCCGTCTCCAAAGCCGTTCCCCCAGATCCAGGCTGTGTCCGCAGGGAGCGAGGACCCCTTCGCCACGGCCCTGAGCATGAGTGACAGGGACCGGAGGGGCGATGCGTGGCTCCCCGGGGAGGGCACCAGGGAGGTCCTGGTCGCAGTCGCCACCCAGCAGCACAACACGGTGTTCGTAGACAAGGAGAGCCTCACCATGCCAGGCCTCAAGTTCGACAACATCCAGGTAAGTCACCAGCGTTTTGTAAGGAGACAGTGGTGAACGGAGTTCTCAGTGAGGTCCTTCTGTGTCCACACCTTGTTCCTTTCAGTCTCTTTCTGATATAGATACATACATATAAACAATCCTTCCAAGGATTGAAAAAGCCTTATTTTTCAGCAGTTCTTAAGATCATGGTTAAGAGAGTCTGTTGTTATGTCAGTAGGTAATTTGGAACCCTGGTGATTTCCCTGATAATGCGTTGATATTACTAATCAGTCTTAAAAATAAATACCAGCAAGGTAATTACATAATAATTCTCTGAAGTAGCTGCAACTTGTGTGATCAGGTTATTGTGACATTTAACCTCCAACAATTGTAAATCCTCCATTCCTCCTTTAAAAAAATTTGGAATATATGTTCGTGTTACATATAACATGCTTGACATAAGAAGAGTTTTTATGGGTTCATTGCAAAAAATATGAATGGCCCCCCAAAAATACTAAGTTACAAAAATACATAAATGGTACATATAGTAAATATTAATAAAAAAAGTTCAATCTCACTAGCAATGAAAGGTGATAAAATTGTTGTAATTTTCCATTATCAAATTGTGCATTTTATTTATAATCATTCCCTGTTTGTTAGAGTGTAAGAAAATAGTCTGTCTTAGGCAGCCCTGATGGGACCATAAACTGGTACAAACTTCTGAAATACAGTTTTTGAGTGCACACAGCTTTTGTCCCAAAAATCCCCCTCTCAGGAGTTTTTTATAAGGAAATAATCTCACTGGTATACAAGTACCCAGCTTTGGGGGTGCCCATCAGAATGTGATTATGATTGCAGAGCATGTGAGACCTAAAAGCCTGATCCAAGGGCTGCATGGATATGTGACTCATCTGCGCAGTGTAATATTGATGTATTTTAAATGACAGTAGAGGAGAATTTTTAATGAGGTTCATAATTTATTACTAAATTCAAAAAGCCAGATACAAGACAGCACGTAGTGTGCACAGTCTGATAGAGCATCTGTAAATGTCTGCACGCACGCCTATGGCGTGAGCTCGTCTTCCCGTCCCTCGTAGCTCTCGGCACCCAGCCTACAGGTGGGCCAGCTGTGTCAGGGCAGCCTCGCATCCTGCGCGTGTCCAGCCTACTGGGGCTAGAAGAGGGCCCTGCTGTGTCTTCCCGTCCCTCGTAGCTCTCGGCACCCAGCCTACAGGTGGGCCAGCTGTGTCAGGGCAGCCTCGCATCCTGCGCGTGTCCAGCCTACTGGGGCTAGAAGAGGGCCCTGCTGTCTTCAGCAGCCCTGCTCACAGGGAGCATTTTTCCACTCATACATGGCTGGGTCAGAAACCTGGTGCCTCGTGCCTGGAGCCTGGAGTGTCATATTGGGCCTGCAAATCGCTGAGCTCCATGCAGCGCGCCCCACCGGGGAAGCGAGCTCAGAGAGGTTAGTGCTGGGTAACAGGTGCCAGCCCATAGACTTCTTCACACTCTGCATAGCTGGCTGGCCAGCATATCACCACTAAACACATTTACTGTGGCCTCAGCCACCAGCCACCATTGGAGATACCCTCTCCACACTCCCAAGCAGAATATACTGAACATTCACCTTTACAGGGTTCTCTTAATGAATTCCAGCTGTGGACTCTGACTTGAGGGGATATTTGGACACTTAGAATGGGTCTGTGTCTTCATTGGATCCTTGCCCATCCCCTCCACAGCCCTGTCTCCATCCCCTGAGGTGGCCTTAGTGTTCTGCTTCAGGTGCCTTCCCTCCCTCCCTTCTGGGGTCTCTGCTCTGCCGTTTGATTCCCTTAACCTCAGTGGGTCTGGCCTTTAGCACTTCCTTTCCACACTGCAGTTTGTTTCCCCTTCAGATTGTAATTTGGAAAAATTGAAGGTTGCTATGGAAATGATTTAACCCAGTGGTTCCCAGCTGGAGCTGCAGTTCTGGGGTACATTGGAAATGTGGAGGTGCCTCACCATGGTTGCCAAAAGGGCTGGAATGAGTGCATGATAATTAGTGGGTGGGGCCGAGAACGGGAACTGCAGTGGCTGAGTACAGTTCTTATCATAAAAATCACCCTACCCGCAATGCCAGTGATTCTTGGGTTGAGAAACACGGGAAGTTCCTGTGCTAGAATAAGCCTCAATTGGATTGCATACGGAGGTCCTGTCTCCACATGAAAAGCGAAAAGCGTGGGCCCTGTGACAGGCCCCCAGCTTTGAAGCCTCTGTTACTTCCCCAGCTGTGAGCTAAGTAGGGCCCCCGTGAGTCAGCAGGGGTGCACTGGCAGAGCGGCACCCAGTGCCACCCAGCAAGAGCGCCTTTCTCTTTGTTTCCTTTTAAGTCCTTAGGTAATGTCTTCTGTACCTCCTGGAGTGGGGTGGTTTTGGAGACCTCATGGAGAACTGAAATTTGAACTAAGGAGAGTTTCCAAAGTATCTTTGACTTTCCCATGTAACAGACATGCTAGGTATGTGTTTGCCTGTGTCTCTTCACTTGTACATCACTCTTCAAAGAAGAGTATTTTATTTTATTTATTTTTTTATTAGTTTTATTTTGGTATCATTAATCTACAGTTACATGA